ATGTAAACGGACTGAAGGGTGTCCATAAAGGGCTTTTGGTAAGAAAATCGAATTATTCTTCTTGTTAATTTATGTGATATCTTAGGGACATGGATGAAACAATCAGTTATTAACGGCTAATTTTATCGTCAAGGGCGAAGAAATATCCTTCTAAAAAAAATTGATTGCTGGGAAACAGTTAGGTCACTATGATAGGGACGGAGAACCAACTCGTACATCAATAATAGTATAGTTTACAGTTATTTTATATTTTTGAATTCAATGTGGCGAACTGGTGTATATATTGAAAGAAGTACTGGGTGTACTGCGTAAAGCAAGAATTATCATGATTAGCAGTGTGTTCAGAAAATATATTCAATGGGAGGTGACGTAGGTAGTTAAAATAAAAATGACAAATAAATCGTAGAATCTTGAATTATTCTATAACTAACTCGACAGCGGGAATTTAAAAGCCGAATCCAAAAAAAGACATATTTTTGTTTAGTAAATTAAATTTTTCCAGATTTCAATGTTAAATTACTAAATAAATACTTGTCGTAGTAATAATCGCTATTATAATATATTGCCTAGAAAAAATAACTGTACAGACAACATATATAAAAAGACGTCCTAGGATAATGGGGACGGGTGCAGCCAGTGTTATAGGTAATTTAATGTATACCTGTAGGCAACGATAAACCATTTCTTACGAAAAAAACAATTTTGAGCGGAATTCAGTTGATAGTGATGCTTTTTCAACAATATATATAAATGTCATGTTATAGTAAAATAATTAAATAGGCTTTCTATATTTTCTTTATTAATATTTGTTTAATTTTGTACCGATTTTCCCAGTTTTCCTACGTTTTTCCCGTGTTTTATCTCGGTTTTTCACATTTGTCTGAAAAACTCCTGAGAAAATCGAAAAATAAACTCTTCCCACGCTGATTTCCTTTCGAGAAAGGTGCTACACTTAGAAATCCAAACAAATCTTCTGGTAGAAGAACAAATTAAACATCTTTGTAAAACCGTAATCTCGTTCCACTCGGAATCTAAAACTCGAAAACGCACGACACACGCGCGTGTTTGTATTTTAACGGATTACAATACGGATGTACGTGTGAAAAATATCTTGTACATTATATCGATGCAGCCGATGTATATAACATTAAAAAGAATGTTTTTTTGATATAACATTAAAAAGAATGTTTTTTTGATTTCAAAACACCTTTTACGCATAATAATAATATTATATAGAGTAGTATAGAGTAG